GTCCCCTATGTCATCTCTGCTTCCCACTTATATTTAACATTTCTCCATCTACTGCATGCTTTTATCCAAATATGCCAGGTCTCCTCCATTCTCAAAAACCCTTACTTGACCCATCTATCCCTGCTAATGTTCTATGTTTCTCCTCCCTTTTTTGACTAAACTTCTTGTGATTGAGCTTACCACAGTGCCTGGAACTTAGTAAATGTAGTAGGAACTTAGTAAATGCTTGTTGCTTGACTGAGAAAGCCACCTACAATAAGTACCTCCACTATTTTTTAAATTAAAATTTATTTTTAATTCATGGAATAAAACAAGCATCTCCATAACATAGTACAATAAAAAAGATGATTACACATGAAATTGAAAAACTGCTATGCACAACTTGCTATTCCTTTCAAATATACAACAAAATTATCATGCAAATTTTTTTCTTTCCTCCCTCCACCACCCTAGAGATGGCTATCATTAGACACAACAGGTGTGTGTAATGTTCTCTTTTTAAATAAGACTTGTGATTTTTCTAGTGTGTCTTTCCTCTTTCTAGCTGCCCAGGCAAGACTAACTATCTAGGTAGCTTATGTCTTATGACGAATTAGACTTGCCCTGTGTTACAGGCAAGACTACACCTGGAAACTAGGCGGGAAGGAGAGCTAGAGGTTGAGAAGTGGAAATGTAGTGATGCTGTTGCCAAATGCTGACCTTTTTGCACAGGCTGTATCAGTTTTGGAAGACACTAGCAGAACATCGAGTTCTTGCAAGAGTAATCATAAAGCTAATCTTCCACAGGGGGATTTTTGAGTGAAAAACCCAGGATGAAAACCCACCCAGGAGAAGATGAGTCTGGGGGAGGGTATATTAGCTCTCTCTGCTACCTGGAAGATTGATGTGGGATGTGGATGCACTATAAGCTAAGAACATGTGCATTGGGAGCATTAAAATAAACTTTGCTTTGTTGCTAGCATTCTGATTGAAGTTCATCCACTATGTCTTATAAGTGGCTTTGAATAAAACAAAGAAAATATAGGATGAAGGAGAGGTATTTCATAGGGAAGATGAGGATTTAGCCATGACTCAGACTTAGCCTTAGCTAAGATGAAAATATGGACAGTGCCTACAAGGGGCAGAGCTAAGGTGTGAATGGTAGCTAGATGGTCTTACAGCTCAAGGCACAAAGAGCTCAGTAGTAATCCCAGGGAGGCCTCTGTTGCTGACTGATGGGCTATGACAGATGGGGCTGACCACTCAACAGCCACATGCCCAAGTTCCTGATTGCTGCAGAGAATCAGGCCCTCATCACAGCACCCCTTAGTTGTCACAGATGTGATTGTAGTTCTTCATGGCTATACCAAAAAAGATCAAATTCTGGCAAGTCCTTTTGATTTGAAAAGCTTATAGTATAGGTCTGAAAATGGATTTTGCATATATTGTCTGAAGGTCAGCCTCACTGAATTTGGAGAGGCTCCATATGAGAAGGTTGTTCAAGAGGTTAAATGTTTTTTTGTCTATATGAATAGGATCCTTTCCAAAGGCCTGGAGGGGTCATAATCTGCTTTGTTTTATTCCGGAATGTAATCTAGAGTCTAATTTCATACCCCAGTGAGAATGGGAATTTTTTCAGAGAATGTGGAATAATAGAAAGATGTCAAGACACTCTGGAAAAATGTAGTGAGGACCAAATGCTCTAGGAAGTTTTAACTTACCCTAACCCTTTGCCCTTAATAAGGTGTTTTGACTAGAGTGAATGAATAGTAATTTGCTCTCTTTTAAGTGTCAACTCAGCTGGTGGGTAGTACTTACCATGAAGAGTTTTAGATGGCAGTTGCTGACTACTTAATTACTCGTCTGTTGACAACACATCCGGCAAAATCTGAAGAATGCCATTTTTCCTCCAGTTGGGGCAATCTTACTTTGACTAATGCTCATTAGGTGGGGATATATGAGTGTAGGGATGGAAGTTCTGCCAGACAGCAACTAACCTTTGTTCAGCAGAGAAGGTGCTGACACAAAAGGTAATATTTTATAGACATTAAAAAACACACATAAAACTCTATTAATTCAGAAAAGCGCTTACGTCACAGTTGCACATTATTCTGTGCCTTGGCATAGTAACATGTAGATGCTTACTACACATTTGGAGGTACTAACTGGGGAGTCAGGAAACGAATTCAATTCCAGTTCTCTCACAATGTGATCACTGTATCAAATGGTCACTTTATTTATCATTTTCCTTTTCTGGGCCTGTTTTGTCAAATATAAAATGAAGTGACCAGACTAGATAATCTCTAAGGCTCCTTCCAGATCTGATATGCTAGGATACTAAGATATTTTTCCATGTACTGCTCAACTTAAAGCTATGCATTTAAGGTAAAACAATCAAAATTATCTTAATTTTTAGTTTTCCCTGAAGGTTTAAGCCCAGTATAGGAAATCAGGTAAGAAGGATCTAGGAATCAAGTATCTTTACCCTATGGTAAGAGAAGTTACATTTAACAGAATTTCTAATTCTTTCTTTCAACATATATTTACTGAATGTCTATCATTTAAAAGGCACTGTGCTAGACACATGTTCCTCCCTCTGAAAAACTTATAGTCTAGGAAGAAAGATAAGATGATAACAATGTATACTGGTATATAAGTGATGTAAAAATGGCACCCAGTGCTATGGGAGTTAATAGAAAGGACAGATAATTTCTAGTTGGAGCAATTAGAGAAGATACCATGAAGAAAGCAGGGTTTAAATAGGACCTTGAAAGATCATTAAGAGTATGAGATAGAGTTGGAGGAAAGTATAAGGTATAAGTATAAGGCAGAGGAAATGATACAAATGCAGAAGGGCAGAAAAATGTAGGGTTTATTTAGGCAACAATGAATACTCCAGTTTGGTTATAGTGTGGTGTGTACAAAGCCTAGTAATGTGAGATAAGGCTGAAAAAGTAGTGTGAAGTCATACTGTGGTGGGCCTTGAAAAGAATGGCTGAGGAATTTAGGTTTTCTTTGGTGGGCAATGGGGAGCTGCTGAAGATTTCAGAGGGAAGCAGTGACAAAATTAAAGTGATTTAAGTGATTTAAGAAGATTAAGTTAGAATAAATTTGCAGGATTGATTAAATGCATGAAATGCTCTGAAAATTTTTTTTGGGGGGGTAACACTTTTGTATGTTTTCTCTTGTGCACAGGTATTAAAAAAACAACTCATTTTCACTAGTTTGGAAAAAAATATATATACTTTAATTGTCTCCTAGTTCATGAAGGGTTGAATCAAATGTTATCAATTTTATCAGGAACTGTACAAACCCAGTACAAAATTACTTTTACTTAAATTACATCACATATACTACCATTCTTATGCAGTATTTTATTGCAGAAGAGAAATAAAATCAAATTTTTTACATATTTGAAAGCTGCAACAAGATTTTCTTTCCAGAAATTCCTATGTTTATGTTCTTCCCAGTAAATAGTTCGAATACAGTTGAAGGTAATATTTCAAATAAGTATTAACATGTATCAGATATTATCTGCAACCACTTCAGAAAATTCTGAGAAAACAGGCATATTTACAATAAGCGTTTAAATGATACTTATGCCTCCAAAATGTATTCGTTTGAGTGGCAATGACATGAGAAACTAAATAATTAAAATATCCTACCTTTTTTTTTTTTGAGACTGGGTCTCACTATGCTACCCAGGCTGGAAATGTGGTAAACACTTACAGGCTTGACCCTGATATTAATTGGCATGGAAGCTTAAACTCGCTGCTGCTGGTTTTTATTTTTTTCTTTTTTACTTTTGGGTTGTGTCCTGTTTGCCCCTCTTTGGGTAGTCTAGTGGACTTCCCCCTCCAAGGGGCTCACTGGATTAGTGCTGATCAATTCTACTGTAGTTCAGAACTTCTGAACTCAAAGGATCTACTGGCTTTAGCCTCCACAGGGGCAGGGATTACAGCCACACACCACCATGCTGGAATCCAGATTTCTATGACTTAGGGAAGATGTAATTCCACATCAGACTTGAAATAAAGGTAACTGATAAATACTTGGTCTCAATAGGACAACAAGATGCTATGTACTTAACTCATAGACCTACCAGAATAGATACACACATACGTACGTGTGTGTGTGTGTGTGTGTGTGTGTGTGTGTGTGTGTGTGTGTGTAAACATGGGAACTTATAAGAGTTTGGTAGCCTAGTTTCTCTCCAATAACCAAATATTTTTACGATAATATGGAAGAACTTTTTCCACAGAGTAGGACTGATAATATATAATAAGCAAAACCTTACTTAGATAAGATCAAAAGATAAGGGATTTTTTAATCTGAAAGTTCAGAGCAAGATCTCCCTCAAGAATTGCCATGGAAAACAGCTTCCACATTTTTAAAGGTACTGTCTTATGCCTTTGTCTTCGGTCGAATTTCTGAAATGCTGATGTGCATTTTGGGGGTTGGGGAGTGGGGAGGCAGCCCTATGTGAAATGCCCAAGAAAAACTGCTTTGGATTAGCTCTAGATGTTGTAGATCACCTCATCCATTTTTTTTCCATTACTGTTTGAAATGATACGGTTTTTATAAAACAGGGAACAATTTAAGAGTAATGCCTTTAGTTTATTCACAGGACAAAGAGGCAGCTGAATTTTTTCTGCTCTGCCATAGCAGAAAGTTACCAGTATTTGTTAGGCATTTAGGGCCTGAGAAACAAACTAGAGGTGTTAGATTACTAGTGTACATCATTCATCAGCCTGGTGGTATTGTTATTTAAAAAAAAAAAAGGACAAAATGGGCTGGAAGGAGAAAAGGAGAACCCACATACATTTTTTTTAGAGATGGAAATGTAAAATGGATGGGGAAAGAGAGATATGTTATCTCTTATTATTACCAAAAGGTAGTCTGTTGCACCAGGCAAAAGATAGTCTTTTAAAATACTAATTATTGGGGCAGCTAGGTGGTGCAGTGGATAGAGCACCGGCCCTGGAGTCAGGAGGACCCGTGTTCAAATCCACCCTCAGACACTTGAGACTTACTAGCTGTGTGACCCTGGGCAAGTCACTTAACCCCATTGCCTAGCCAAAAAAAAAAATACTAATTCTTTAAGCTGACCAATTCCCCCACAAGGAATTTTTTTGATCAATATCTATAAAAATATATGCGTACGTACCATGCATATATCAATTGCCCGTATTTCAGGATATGTGTATAGATAAACATATATACACATATACATATATGTTACTATAGCATCATTTATAAGTGTGAAAGATTATTTTAGAATATCAACTTACTAAAAACAGTTAATCCCTGTACTACACTTTCTGGTAGCAAAAATGTTGATAGCAAAAATGCATGTTACTCCATAGCTCAATTTTCTAGAAAAGTTATTTGATTTCAGCTGTTAAGTTCCCATTTATCATTTTCCACAACAAATGACTGCTTACAAGTGAGCATAAGGAGCAAGAGTAATGGTAAATGCCAGAGGCTACAGAAAAACAGTTTCCTAGAGCTGATTCGGTCTGAATCCTTGTAAAACCGAAAACCAAGGTAGGAAATGTATAAGTTGATTGGGAAAGAGATGATGGGAAAGGTCCATGTGGTGACTTTCAATATGGGGGCCATCACTGACAGTGCAATTAAAGCCAGGCAGTGGCGTAAGGCCACTCGCTTGCACATGGCAGGATGAGTGACGGACATCATACAGTAGCCTCCCCGGGAATAATCTTCTCGAAGGCCCCAGCTTAGAGCATTGAAATGAGGAAACTGCCAGGAGTAGAGGATTCCACCCAGTAGTAATGCTCCTGTAGAAAAATTTTAAGGAAAAGAAATGAAAACATTCATGAGGAGAAGTACATGAACACAAATCTCACAAAACATTTAAATTAAATTTATAATAAACTTTTAAAAATTTTATAAACATGATGCTTATTTTAACTTCGATTCTTTATTTCCTGCTGTCACCTTCCATTTATTGTTTATCCTTGTCCATTCACTCTTATATCTGTATATGCACACACACAGACATATGTACACATACACACCCAGATATCTATTATACACACATGTATGAATCTTATGGTTCTGCTTTTTTCAGAAGGCCTTTTAAATATATTTTTATTTTATTCTGCTTTTTTCACTTTGCATTACATTTCACATATCTTTTTTTTAAACTTTCTTTGTTTATTTTTAGTTTTCGACATTCACTTCCATAAGCATTTGAGTTTTCAATTTTCTTCCCTTCCCTCTCCTCCCCCATTCCCAAGACGGAATGCAATCTGATATAGGATCTATATATACATTCATATTAAACATATTTTCAATTAGTCATGTTATAAGGAAGTATTAGAATGAATGGGAGGAAACACAAGAAAGAAAAAACAAAACAAAACAACAAAAGAAAAAAAGAGATCAGCATTCAGATTCCAGAGTTCTTTCTCTGGCTGTGGATAGCATTTTCCATTATGACTCTTTTGGAGTTGTCTTAGATCCTTGAATTGCTGAGAAAAGCCAAGTCTATGAAAGCTAGTCATCACATAATATGGCTTTATGGGGGCAGTGAGGTGGCACATTGGATACAGCACTGGCCCTGGAGTCAGAAAGACCTGAGTTCAAATCCAGTCTCAGACATATAACACTTACTAACAGTGTGACCCTGAGCAAGTCACTTAACCCCACTGCCTAGCCAAAACACACAAACAATATGGCTATTACTATGTACAACAATGTTCTTCTGGTTCAGCTCATTTCACTCAGCATCAGTTCATATTTTTTTTTTGGGGGGGGGTTTGTAAGATATTAGTCTATGCTTAGTTTCTGCCATACTATTTTCCTAGCAGTTTTTGTTAAATAGTGAGTTCTTATTCCAGAAGCTAGAGTCTTTGGATTTATCAAATAGCAGATTACTATAGTCACTGACTACTGTGTCTTACATGCCTATCCCATTCCACCGACCTACCACTCTTATTTTTTTGGCTAGGCATTGGGGTTAAGTGACTTGCCCAGGGTCACACAGCTAGTAAGTGTCAACTGTCTTGAGGTCAGATTTGAACTCGGGTCCTCCTGACTCCAGGGTCAGTGCTCTATTCATTATGCCACCTAGCTGCCCCAACCACTCTATTTCTTAGCCAGAACCAAGTAGTTTTGATGACTGCTGCATTTCTTTTTATTAATTCCCTTCATATTCTGGACCTTTCATTCTTACAGATGAATTTTGTTATTATTTTTTCTAGCTCCATAAAATAATCTTTTGGTACTTTGATTGGTATAGCACTGAATAAGTAAAATAATTGAGGTAAGATGGTCATTTTTATTATATTAGCTTGGCCTATGCGTCAGGAACTGCTATTTTTCCAATTATTTAGATCTGACTTTACTTGTGTGAAAAGTGTTTTGTAATTGTGTTCATATTGTTCCTGGGTTTGTTTTAGCAGGTAGACTCCCAAATAATGTCTATAGTAATTTTAAATGGAATTTTCCTTTCTATCGCTTGCTGTTGAGTTTTGTTAGTAATATATAGAAATGCCAATGATTTATGTGGGTTTATTTTATATCCTGCAATTTTGCTAAAGTTATTTATTATTTCAAGTAGTTTTTTACTTGATTCTCTAGGATTCTCTAAGTATATCATCATATCATCTGCAAAGTTAACCTTGTGTTCTTACAGATGGATTATTTTATTTTTTTCTAGCTCTGTAAAATATTTTTAGTAGTTTCATTGCACTGAATAAGTAAATTAATTTAGATAGAATTGTCATTTTTATTATATGTTCATAGGTGGCCATGAACAATTAATATTTCTCTAATTGTTTGGATCTGATTTTATTTGGATAAAATGTTTTGTAATTGAGTTCAATTAGTTCCTGGGTTTCTCATGGCGGGTAGACTCTGAAGTATTTTATATTGTCTACAGTTATTTTAAATAGAATTTCTATTTCTATATCTTGTTGCCAGACTTTGTTGGAAATATATAGATATGCTGATGATTTATGTGAGTGTATTTTATATTCTGCAATCTTGTTGATGGTAATTATTTCAATTAGTTTTTTAGTTGATTCTCTAGGATTCTCTAAGTATACCATCTTATCACCTGCAAAGAGTGATAATTTTGTTTCCTCACTGCCTATGCTAATACTTTTTCTTCTCTAATTGCTATAGTTAACATTACAATTTCAATATTGAATATTAATGGTGATAATGAAATCTTTGCTTTACCCCTGATCTTATTGGAAAGGCTTCTAGCTTATCCTTATTACAGATAATTCTTTTATGATGGTCTTAGAAAGACACTAATTTTTTTAAGGAAAGCTCTACATATTCATTTTTTTCCAGTGTCTCTAATAAGAATAAATGTTGTATTTTATTGAAAGCTTTTCTGCATCTATTGAGATGATCATATAATTTTTGTTGTTTTTGTAATTGATATGGTTGTGCTGATAGTTTTCCTAATATTGAACCATTCTTCCATTCCTTGTATAAATCCCACCTAGTCATAGTGTATGATCCTTGTGATATTGCTGTAATATTGTTAGCATTTTATTTAAATTTTTTCCATCAACATTCACTAGGGAATTTGGTCTACACTCTTCTTTTTCAGTTTTTGCTCTTCCTGGTTTAAGTATCAGCACCATGTTTGTGTCATGAAAACAATTTGGTAGGACTCTTTATTTGCTATTATCCTGATTTTACAGATGAGGAAACTCAAACAAACACAGGTTAAATGACTTGCTCAGGGTCACAAAGCTATAAGGCCCACATTCAAACTTGAGGGACCAGTGCTCTAACTAATAGTACTTAGGAGTTGTGCCTGGTAAACAGGGTCAAATAATATGATTTGGGAAAGGATTCTTGGATGGAAAGTCTACAAGCTGTAACTTGAAGGAAAAGAAAAACAAGTATAAGCACAGAGGTCTAAGGAGGTTATATGTAAGGAATCTAGATAAAAATAGGTTAATCAATCATTATTTCCTAAACACCTGGAAGATCCTCTGATACATAAGAAATAGTTCAAGGAGCTCAGTATCTACTTAGGGAGATCGATACAAACAGAAACATTAGAGAAAAAATGAAGCATTTCACTTGATTAGGACTAACCAATATAATAGGTTTTTAAGGTAAATGGAAGACAGTGTGGGTTAGCATAGTTGGAGAAGGCTTTATGGACATTAGAGAAGGTTTTATGGAAGAGGTAGGACTTGAGTTGCATATCCAGCTAGATTTATAGATCTACAGAAAAGAGAAAGAAAAGTATTATAGATCAAGTGAATAACATGAGCAAAGGCATGGGGGAAGCATGATATGTGTGTAAAGCGATCTGTTTAACCAGGAATAGTGTAGAAGAAAAGAAAGGTAGTAGAATTAAAAAGGACTGGATGGAGGGTCTTAAAAGTTAAGCTAAGAAGTCTGTATTTGAATCTGTAGGAAAATAGGAGCTACTATGAACTCGTATCCAAGGGTGACATAATGAAGGCAGTTTTTCATGAAGATTAGTTTATAAAAATTTTTTTTTCCTTATGAAATAGTATTCTGTGCTAGTGAAAAGGGCAGTACTGATTTTCAGTTAATGAAGGTGAAATCATCTGAAATTCATGACTGAGAATTTGTTTGATTTCAAAGGAACCTTTGGAATCAATAAAAATATCTAAAAGGAAAATTATATGAATAAAAGAGCCTTTATGATGGCTGGTTGATCATAAAGGGTGATATGGTTTATTGGGAAGTCACTCAACAAGAATTTATTAAGTGCTTACTGTTTGCCAGGCACTGTGCAAAGTGTGGGCAAGCAAAAAGAAAAATAGTCCCTGAAGTTTACGTCCTAATGGGGGAAAACAACACATAAATGGGTAGCTGAAAAGTGGGTGGAGGGAAGGTGTCTGGGAGGGGCCTGGCACAGTTTGGAGAATGAGGGATGGCTGGTCTGGAGACCTTTCCTAAAATAAAAGCTCCAGGAAGAACCCACCAATGAGAGAAAGGGCTTTCAGAAGTGGAGCCAGTGAACTTGGAGTCAGGAAAGTTGGATTCTTGTCTTGGATTTGCCATAGCTGCATGATCTTGTGGGTAAGTGACTTCACCTCTCTAGGCCTGAGTTTCTTCATCAATGAAATGAGTTTGAACTAGATACCTCAAGATTCCTTTGAGCTCTGGGGCACCTAAATAATCTTTGTGAATTCAAGTCATCAGGTTCCCATTAACTATATCCCTGAGAAATAGAAGAACTGGCTAATGTTATGGCTGAGCCACTGTTAGTTTTGTTTTGTTTTGTTTTCAGGACTAGTGAGGGTAGGAGAGGTGGTATAGGCCTAGAGAAGGACAAATGTCCTGAAAGTGCAATAAAAAAAAACAGGAAGAGAGTGAAATCTGAGAACTATAATAAAGTGAACATGACTTCAATTTCTTAAAAATTGTGGAATATATTATTAAAGGTATGACTGTAGAAAAGGAAGTGGTGATTGCACAGCACCAGCATGGCTAACCCATGAACTAGTCCTATTTGCCTCATTTATTTTTGTGACAGAGCTACTCAACTGACAGCTTAAGGGTATGTTACAGATTGAGTTTACCTAGATGTTAGCAAAGTATCTGACAAAAAAATTTTTTTATGTTATTCTCATGAATAAAGTGGAAATAAATAGGATAGACAACACTATATGGTATATTTGCAACTGAATGAATGGATGGACCCAAAGATTAGTCACTGGGCTCCTAGTGGAGTGTCCCCAGGGACTTGTCCTTGGCTCTGTGCCATTTATTATTTTTATCAGTGACTTGTATGAAGTGATAGAAGGCACATTTCTCATTTTTGAAG